GTAGTAGTCCAGAGTATTGGCTGGACACGAAGGTTTCAACCTGGTCTCTGAGCTCAGCTATGTCACCTGCGGCGGACGTCTCCGCCAGCTGGTCGTCTGAGATGGAGAGGTGGGGAGCGTCAGCTTCCCTGTGTCCCCTGTCGCGGGGAGTGCATGGCCTCTGAGAGGCAGTGCGCGGGCTCGACCTGCTTTCGCCGTATGGGCCTGGGGCTCCACGGCGGTTGCGCGCGGACGAGCTGCGACTCGGACCATGTGTGTGGTGTCTCATCCGATGATACCTTGGGGTACCGCGTCTGTGGCTGTGCCGACACTGGTCTACTGAGCTCCTCAAAGGTAGCTACGTGCTCCGCCACAGGGACGGTCGCAGGGCTGGGGGTCCCAGCACCTGAGGTCCATCGGCGGTTAGCGCGAAAGCGCCCTGGAGTATCGAGACCGGTAAGGCTTTCGCCTGACGCGGTTGGGATTGCTCCCGACGGGGAAGGGGAGGGAGGATCGAAGGTCGGCGTGTGAAACTCCTTCCTTCCTGTTCCTACTCCTTCTCCTGTCCCCCCGCGGGCGGCGCTGCGGCGAAGTTCAGCAGCTAGACGCGCCTCGGGTCCTCGGGAGCTGGGGGGGGTATCGGGGACACCAACACAGTCCGCACTAATGCTCTCCAACTCGTCACCGAGCCGTCGCACCGTGGGAGAGCTTGGACGCGAAGCCCCAATGGAACCCTTACGGCGCATGCGCCGAAGCGGCTCCATTAGGCTCGCATGCAAGGTCACCGCGGTCGAGTCGGTGAGGGTGAGCGTTAAAGGGCTGATAACCTGTGTATGGGGTTGAAGTACAAGGGTACAGAACCCCTGGTCCGTTGGTAGAGAGATGGAGGGATAGATGGATATCTTTCCCTCCCACGCGATCAAGGTACGATCGCTCCAACTCAGTACCTGAGCCCAAACGGCCAGGTGCGGGAGAGGTAAGGATAAGGAGTATATATGAGGGTATTACACGGGTTCCATACACACAGACAGACAGACAGACAGACAGACAGACATGCATGCATGCATGCATACATACATACATACATACATACATACATACATACATATATGCATACATACATACATACATACATACATACATACATACATATACACACATCTATGCATGCATTCAGACATGCATGTCTACAACAATACACAGACAAGCATACATGCATACATACATACATAGATGTATACATGCATGCATGCATGCATGCATGCATGCACGCATGCATACATACATACACCCACACCTAGATACATATGTAGTGAGCGATGTATATATGTGTGTATGCATACATATATGGATACATATACATAGTTATTGTAATACCCAGGAACCCTCCCAAAAAAGAAATTGATTCACCGAATCCTGGGCCCCCGGGACCCTCTGACCCCCCAGATCCGGGGCCCCGGGGACCCCCTGGACGCCCCTGCAGGAGTGCCCCCCCTTGCGTTTCAGAGCTCCTGGAAGCCCTTGCTGGGCCTGGGCAATGGGCCCAAATCGGTCAGGAGGGCTACCGAACGCCCCCCCGAGGGCCCCAAGAGGCCCCCGATAGCCACCAGACACCCGAAGACGTCCCAAAGAAGACCCCCAAGAGGCTTCAAAAAAGCAGAAAAAAAAACAATTTTCTTTAGATGTTTGCATGATTGGGGGAATGCCCTGTTCTTGGATTTCTGGGCGTCCAAGACCGCCTGGGAGGCTCGAAACTCGCTACAAAACTATCCGAAAGGGTTTCCAGGCAGTCTAAGAGGAGCTCCAAGACGGCACAACAGAGTTCCAGGATGGCAGGATGGCCTAAGAAAGCCCCATGACGGCCCAACATGGCCCCAAACACCCTCCGAAGCATTCCAAATCGTGACCCGGTCGTTGAGGGAGACCGCTGTTGGAGAAATGGTGGCCTGAGGAAGCCCTCAAAAGCCCCCAGAAGACGCCCAAGAGGCCTCCAGAAGGCCTTAAGAAAACCCGAAAAAAATCCGTGAGGCCCCCAGAGGCTCTTCCAAAAGGAGCCTCCGCAGAAAGAGCTGAGGATGGGGAAGAATTTGCAGGGTAGGGCGAGAATGAGGAAAAAGAAACATGGAAGAAGGATAACGAATCACATTAGTATACCGGCGATGCCGAAAAACGCAACAAGGAGTTATCGCAAAACTTGTCTGTCTGATCTTCCTGCCATTCCGCCTGCATACCAAACTTTCAGGACCAAGGTGCATGGCGCGAAACGCCAACGCAGTCTTGAGAGGAAGGGAAGAGATAGAAAGAGAGAGAGAGAGAGAGAACAAAAAAAAAAAAAAGAGAGAGAGAGGGAGATAGAAAGAGAGAGAGAGGGAGAGATAGAGAGAAACAGAGAGCGAGATAAATGGAGAGAGAGAGAGAGACATAAAGGAAAAAAAGAGAGAGAGAGAGAGAGAGAGGCAGACAGACAGACAGACAGACGGACGGACGGACGGACGGACGGACGGACAGACAGACAGACAGGCAGACAAAAAGACAGGCAGACAGCCAGACAGCCAGACAGACAGACAGACGACAGACAGGCAGGCAGGCAGGCGGGCGTGCGGGCGGACAGACAGACAGACAGACAGACAGACAGACAGACAGACAGACAGACAGAGACACAGGCAGACAGACAGGCAGGAAGACAGACAGACAGACAGGCAGGCAGGCAAGCAGGCAGGCAAGCAGGCAGGCAAGCAGGCAGGCAAGCAGGCAGGCAGACAGAAAGATAGGCAGACAGGGACAGGGACAGGGACACGGACACGGACACGGAGAGAGCGGGAGGGGGAGAGAAAGAGAGAGAAAGAGAGAGATGGGGTTAATCTGGCACAAGCACGCAGGCTCGCAGACGCACAGCCGTTGCCGCAGACGCAGACGTGCTTCATGCTCGACGTAAAACTCTGCCTGCCTGCAGAGCTCGAGGGAGCCGGAAGGAACGGCACGGCGGAGGAAGAGCTCCAGGCAACGCCCGGGTAGAGGCAGACGCAGACATAGACAAGAGGTGCGGGTGGAGAGGGGAAAAGGAACCAATTTGTCCGTGGCGTCACGAATTTCGATGCTGACCCTGCTAGCTCGCGCGAAAGCCGTTCGCATCACGAGTCGAGTGGAACGAGATCGCGAAGCAGATCCGCAAGCCCAATTGAAAGGGGTGAGGGCCGATGCTGCAATACGCAGCGCTGCACCGCCCAGGCCGAAGCAGCGACCCAACAACCTGCGAGGTTGGCGCGGCGGTCGACCGTGGAGGGCTGCTCATCGTCTCTCTGCTTCCCCTCCTCATCATTCTTGGATTCCTCCTCCTCCTCCTCCTCCGCCTCCTCCACCGTCCCCACAGGAAGTGTTTGGTCTGATCCTAGACAGCAAAACTGGTCGATGCTGGATGGTGGTCCCTCCTCACCCGTGTCCCGTCCGCCCCCCGCCTCCTGCCGCCTCTTCGCCAGACCCCTTGATTCGCGTAAACGATCGACTACAGAATTGATTTGCCCTCAAATTGATGTTCCCGTCGAACGTACCCAAAAATACGCATAGTCTTCGTACATCTACGATCATTGCACGCATTGTAACTAGATTCGACGAACAAATCAATCTTGGGGTAAATCAATTCTGTAGCCGATCCCCCACTCGATGGATGGCAGGCGCCCTGGGAGGGCAGACGACGACCCCCCTGGAGACCCCACAGGCGGCGCAGTGACGGACCACTGGCCAAGATGGCCGCAGGACGGAGCAGCAGGCTCCCTCGACGGCCCCAGGCCCGGAGAGGGATTCCGAGACGCCTCTTCCCCGGATCCCTCCTCGTCCCACGTCCCCTTCCGAGGGCTTACCGACTTCTGCTGTCCCTCGAAGGAGAAGGAGGAGGAGGAGCAGGAGGAGGAACAGGAGCAGAAGGAGGAGGAGGAGGAGGAGGAGGACTCCTGCTGGAGCTCCCACGATCGTTTCAGCTTTACCTGAACATCCAAGAAGTGTACCTGGAGGTTCCTAGATGTCTCCGGATGTACCCCGATTTGCCTCGATTACTCTAGCTCGATCCCCGCAAGTCGATTGAACAAGAGTCGTCAAGCCCTGAAGGACATCCCCCTCGTCCTCCTGGGCGTCCCCTGGCCCTCCGCTCCGCTTCCGCAGCGGGATCCCGCGCCTCCTCCTCCCGCCCCGCTGGCGGGGGCAGTCGACGAGAAAGCAGAGTGCGCGCCGAGACGCCTCCCCAGCGGCGACGCTGCGGGCGAGACGCCAGACGCAACAAAAAGGCGGCGAATCTTATGTTTGCCATCAACCTCAGCCTTCCCCATCAAAGACATACATCAAAGACCCCCGACCTCCGATGCCTTGACCGGTGCAACTGCCCAGCTGGAGTCTGGGGCCCCGGCCGGACGGCACCAGCGCAGTCTCGGGGACGTCAGAGGACTGCGCGCGCCAGCTGTTTTGCCCGTGCCTGGCCCGCGAGAGCCTGCAGTTATGCTGCCACGCTGCTGCACCCACGCTCGGCAGGAGTCCACCACCAAAGGGGAGATCTTTCGACACTCGCCAGATGAGCTCGGGCATCAGTCCGTACGGCCTCCGAGAGTTGGGTCGCGCAGCGCGCACGTCGTTCGCACTCGTGCGTGCCCATGGGCGAAATATGCGGCGTGGTAGCAGATTCGGATATCGGTTTGAAGTTGCAAGGGTGAGTTCATTCAAACTTGACGGAGCCAAGCCCTCTCCGTGCAGATCGGCAAGAGTCCTCTTTTTCGTCCAGGATGGAAGTCAGGGAGGGCTCGACGCAAAATGGGGAGGAAGTGGAAGGGACGAGCCACGTCACATTCCCCCCTGCTGCCACAAAGCCCTGAGCCTCGACCTCGCTGGACGCAAATTGGGGCGGAGGGGGGAGGAGGGGGGAGGGAGGAGCCACAGCACACTCCCCCCTGCTGCCTCAAAGCCCTCAGCCTCGACCTCGCTCGCTCGCCTGCGGCCTGCCATGCGCTTCTGCCACTGGCACCCGCAGCCCGGAACTCCTTGCCCTTGTTGTTGGCGGGAATCGCAATGTCGATGTTTTCCAGGGGCGAGTCCGTGTCGCAGAGAGCGATCACCTGAGGCGATGGCCAAGTAGTGTTTTTCACCAGTGCCAGAAATCTGGCTCTTGGCTCTGAAAACTGCAAAGAACAAGAAAAGCGCCAAAATCGGAATCAAAACTGGAACTGGAAACGGCACGGGGACGGAACCGGAAAAAATGGCGACGGCACCAGACTGACAGCAGACAAGCTGATATGCTCTTAGCCCAGAAAAATAAAAAAAGGCGCTTCCAGGGCCTTCAAAGCTCGCAGCACAGGGAGTGGCCCTCCGTCCGTGGAGGGACGCGTGCGCACTCCCAAACCCTACGACTCCCTGTGCGGCAGGGCTCGAGCTTAGCAGTGTTGTCCGTTTTCGTGTTGTGCTCGCTCTCCCTCGTTGTGTCTTCGTGCCGCCTCCGCTGCAAGACGAAATCAAAACGCAAGCGGTCCACGAAATCGCCAAAACACCGTTCAGCTTGAGCCCTGCTGAGAAGAGCCTGAGGCTGCCGAAAACGCACCCGAAGCATGCTCTGAGCGCGCCTCCCCCTCTTGCCCCCTTCTTCTCCCGGGCTTCCTTCCTTTAAATCCGTCGTATTGCCGTCTTCTCCAATACGCCTCGAACTTTTCCCTACCCCCAAGACTGGCAAGCTAAAAGGCAACGACAATCTTAAAGATGCGCCCTCAGATTGAGGGAATCCTTAAGGTTGGCATCGACATGGGGCGAAGCCAGTCATGGTGATAGGAATACGCTCGAGGCTCACAATCGTATCCCCCTTCCGTCGCTGCTCTTTTTCGTTATCCTTGCTCTTCCTTGGCGAAGGGGATCCAACATGTGGTCGCCGAATTCTTGTCGCGTGATGATACGCGTCCAGGCGCGAAAGGGGAGACGAAACGCGTGGTCTTAGGATTTGTCACGGGTCACAGTACGCGTAGATCCTGTGTGCGTCTGGCGCGTGCGCATTTGATACGGAGTCTCACGTGCCCAGGCGCTTTACGTGGTCGGTCCTTGCGGCCTTCCAATGGACGAGAATCTTACAAAAGGGGCGTCGGATGTCGCACGCGACATGCGCCGGGCACGTTTTGCACTCGATATATTTTAACGCGTCCAAGCCCTAGATGGAATACCGACCGTGCGGTTGGCGTACTCCTCGCGCGTGCGAAAAACCCGCACCGATGGAAATCCTCACCATCGGCAGGCGTGTTTTCTGATAAGTGTTTTCACGTGTGTGTGGGCCCCTGTTCTCAGGTATTACATATGCGTCTGGCGCACGTTACGTCCCACAGCGGTGGTTTTGTCGACGATGGGCCCCATGACGAAATCTCGCACGAAACACGCGATCCGCCTTACGCGGCGTAACGCAACACACCGCACAACGACGCAAACGTATAGCGAACGTGCCGCAAAAAACCTACATTCGAATTCTTTACCGGGTTCGAGAATGCCTCAAATTGCAATGCGCTGCCGCCCTTTTTCTCCCAGTGGCCCCGTGCACAATCAGATTGCACCGTGGCCAAATCAAGTTTTCAGAAACTTCGTGGTTCGCTGACGTCGCTGCAATTGAAAACTCAAGAGACCAAGGATCTCCAGCAAATCCGCCACCACGCTTGCAAGATTGTGGAGTGCTCGACGGCCAACTAGCTGTCTGGTCGGGCTTCTGTGGCGACGTTACCCCCGATTCAGAGCACGCATATCCAGAGCCATCCCCCACCCCTTTTCGACGGCCCTCAGAACGGGTGTCACCGCCAACATTCGTTTGTCCACCGAAGCCATTCAACGTGAGGCAGGCAACGCAACGAAGGCCTACACAGGCTGCGTGCTGTCGGCGGGGTTAATGCACATTTGGCTAACACACGTCTGGAGGATCATCGAACATCAAACTCTATTTCCCGGCACCCGCATCGGCTTTCAGACGGCTCCAAAATGGCCGTGAAGATCGCTCCAGACTGGGCCCCAAGACCCCCCGAAGACCAGCCCCGAGACGGCCCGACGATTGCCCCAGAAACTCCGATATTAGGGGGACCTTCCTGGCTTAAGCGCCGATGCTGCGCCGAACGCCGATCGACTTTGATCGAATTTGAATCGAACCTGGGTCGAACTTGAACCGGGCTTGAGTCGAGCTAGAGTCGAGCTGCAGCCTCAAGTGGGCGGCAGTGACGAATGCGCTTCCTGGTTGGACCAGACGGCTGCGGAGTGCAACGTGGTTCTGCTCTGCTACATCCTTGCTGAGCTACACTGCCCCACCCTTCTTCCGCGCACGAAGATACATCAAGTGCGCTCTGCATCTAACCACCCCTTCTCGCGGACGTCGCCAAGCCAACGCTCGGTGAGACCGCGCCCGCTCAGGTGGTGGGGCGCGGAGCCCACGGCGGGGCTAACCGCGCGGCGGTTCCCGCGGGCCTGTCTCCGCACCTTCGCGGGCGGAGCTCCCGCGCTACGCGCAGCACAGACGGGGCGGAGCCACGCGCTTCGCCTGCGCGGCGCGGCGCCCCCCGCAGCCCCTGACCGCGGCCACCCGGCTACAGCGCCGCGGAAATCACGCGCCCGCCACCACTTCAACGGCGAGCTTGCTCCCGCCACTCCGGAGCTCGAAACCGAGGTCTGCCAGACGCCGACACGTCGTCTTCCCACCCCGTCGACGTGCTTCGCGGAAAGATTCGCTGGATTGCTTTCCCCCTTCGCATTCACACCGTTCAGGCGTTTCTCGGCCGCCGCTTGCCGCGGCCACAGTGCCCGCGCGCGCCGGCGGCGCATCTTGCCAAAGCCACGCTTTGACGCTATGCCCACGCCTGCAGGGGCATTCGGCCCAGAGCTCAGCCTTGAACGCCAAGCCGCAATCCTTGGCCATGAGGGCCAGTCCCCCACCCGGCCTTGAACGCGCCGCAATACTCCTACTCCCCGGTGGACGTGGCCGTCGGCTTCTGCGTCGTCGAGAGCGCCGCCAACACGCGGCTGCCGTGCATTGTTGTTCCTGCAGAAATTGACCTGCGAACGACCTTGCATCCGGCGCGGTCTGCGCCAGCGCGCTGAATCAGCTTGCCTTGCTCTGGCTGCCGCTGAAACACCCGCGCGGCCCGCGGCGCCGACGCGAGATAGCGGGCGACCCTTTTGATCTTACCCAGCGCGCTTCTCGTCGGGCTCTGCGTCGCCCCTGCTGCCTCCTCCCTCGGCTATTTGCAACAACTCGACCCATTGCTTCGCGCGCTGTCTTCATGGTCGCGGAGCGAAAGAAGGCGGTTGCATTTCCACCGAAAACTGCATCGCCCTTCGGTTTCGGCACTGCGGTAGAAACACCTGGAGCCACCGCTCCTTTGGACCCCCTCCGGAGACCCATCTGCTCGACTGTGATCTGCGCGCGTTTCGGGTCGCACCCCCACTCAAGACAACCCCTTGCAGCGTCGAGCCGGACGACGCGACGCGAGCACCGGACTTCCTTGTCGCCGCGGGGCCCTGAACCCAACAAGCCAGCGTTCTATCTCGATGCGCTGCCACATCTGCTCTTCCACCCATTGGACATCTGCCAGTGATTCCGGAAATCAGAAATCGTCTCCACGCACCCAAGCTCCCACGCGGCGCTTACCGCGCAGGAACAAGCTGGGGCAGCTCAAGCCTCGGGTGAAAACCAAGACGTTCGACCATCACGCTCGCGTAGAATCGCCCGCAGATGCGCCCTGCCCGGCGGGCCCCGCGCATGCTCTGCAGGAGGCGCCGACATCGCCCTGGACGGCGTCGCTCAGGACGGCGTCGCTCAGACGGCGCCTCCACGTTGATCATCTGCGGGGCCGTGGATGGGCCCGCGCAGCGCCCATGAACAAAAGCACCACGCCCCCGCGCGGTCATAATCAAGGAACACAGGAAACGCAGCGCCTCGAGAGGCGGCGCGGCTGCGAAGGCCCATCCCTCACAGGGCCCTTGACCTTGAGTTCATCGGCGCAGAGCTGGCCGCAGTAGCTGGGGTCGCGATGCCCCCCCTTGTCGGTGCCGGCCCAACGGCCGCCTATCGTCTTCTGTCCTGCTGCTCGCGCGGCCTCATCCACTGGCGCCCACTCATATATATATATATATATATATATATATACATTGAAACCATCACACTCGCGCAACTCGGCCTCGCGCGTCTTCCTGTGCCAGTTGGATCAAGCACGCAGCCTGATACACCATGTACATACTGCTCTCCTGAATGACCCCACCAATCACCGATGGAAGGGCGCCTGCTCTGGCCCCAGGGGGCAAGCGAGGGGAGGTTTGGTCCACCCGTCTGCTCTGCGCTGTGCTTCGAGGCCCTGGGCGACGGCTGCGTCGGCTGGCTGTCCTGTTAGATAGGATGTCACGCGGCTTGCTAGATCTTTTCCTTTGGACAACCAACAAGCGTCCTTCGCTCTCCCGAGACGCACCCAGCCCTGCACGCGGATCTCCTTAGCGCCGGCCGATGTCTAGGCCGAAGCGTCACACAATCAGGCCGCGCGTGCAAGGGGCATTTCCCCTCCTCCATCCTCCTCCTGTAGATCGTAAACCAATCACGAAGATGACGAAGAGGATCTGAAGATAATATGGTGAACCTTCGATAAGATCGGGGCTGCCGTCTTCAATCACCCAAGAGCACCTTCCGCCGCTTCGCCGGCCAGCCGCAGCCCCAGGGGGAGCCGTCGTCAGGGCCCGCCCCCCCGACGTCGAACTCGCGGCCCCCTGCGCACCCCAGCCGCGCTGAGGCGGCGCGTCTGGCCGCGGGCCCCGGCGCCTCCAGGGCGCCCAACACCCGCGGGGCAACGCTGAGACAGCCCACCTCCGCAACTCGGCTCTGCCTCTCGCTTCGGCCCCGCGTCCTCCACCCGCGGCGTCGCCGACCGGGGCGCTGGCAAGGGCGGCGCCGCCCGCGCCCCCCGCCGCTCGCGGCGCGCCGGCGTCTGCCAGCTGCGCCCCGGAAGCAGAGACGACGCCAATGCCCGCGCCCCCCGCCACTGGCCCCAGCGACGCGGCAGGCGCCCGCGACTCTGCCAGCCCGCGTTGCTTCGCCCGTAGGCGCGGAGCTTCCCGCGCCCTG